AAGTTGTTCTGTTAAGCACAGCAAGTGTGATTTTTGGTACAGTATATCATAGCGTTTCATCAGTGAACTAAGTGAGAAGGCGTGTAATAGAACATCCTCCTGGCTACTGAATGATAGCGTACTGCGAGGAAAGTAAAAAGTGTTCTCGCTTCCTTGCTGCCAAATTCGCATAGGAAGCGTAAAAGAAATTCTTTCGGTCACCCATTTTAAGATTATCACTCAAGTCTACAGCTAAATCTATCAACAGGGTAAATTTGACAAAAAATAAATGAATAAATAAACTGAACTCAACGCTGCTGATTGAATGACAACAATGACGTTTGTCTGGTTGTTCAGTTATTCTATTTGTGTAAACGTCAAATGCCACTTAACTACTGTTCTAACAACAGCAGAACTGTCGTATTAGTAACTGATTCCTTCTGGAACAGCCTAACCTCTTTATTTCTGTGGATAACCATGTGTTCCCTAGTTTTATGAAGTTTGTTTGCTTATTCATTGATCGGCGTACTCGACAAATGCTGCTCTATTACAGCAGGTTATACTGTTTAAATGACCATTCCCTTTGAAGTACTATGTGGAACACGAAGACAAAAGGAATATTTTCTCTTCATCTTCATTTTCATTTCTATTGCTGCTTCCTTTATACACTAAATTTCTCAGTATCAGCCAACAGTTGTTTAACAGTAAGTACTACCTTGTTGCACTTGCAGCAACAGTGTTATTGGAGCCTAAGAAAAACCAGGAAGTAGTGAAACATTCTAGTGATTTCTGAACAACAGTGATTATGTTATCGGTGTAGAAAAAAGGCAAAAAAAAAAGAAAAACACCGTTCTAAAAACTTGATCTACATTTTTCTTTTTTTTAATCTTATGTTTCAAAAAACATTGTTTTAAGAAGTAGAAGAATTAACGTCGATGTAGAATTGACGTAAGTTTAAGTGAAAATGAGGTGACTCGGTAAAAAATGGTGCAAAATTAAATTGAAAATATTAAGGAACAAAAATTTCATCTATACGACTATTCTTCTGTCTTAGAGGTTTCCCCGTCCATAAAACAGACTGAAACGTGAAAAGTAAAAAAATATTTTTTTTGTGAAAAAAATTTCTGTGCTTTTCCTCTTTTCTTCTAATTCGCTGTACGAAACAACACATAAAGATCAAAGCTTATTTTGTTAAAAGACCTTTCTAAACTTTTTCTCCATTCTTTCTCTGTTCTTCTTTTCTCCTTTTTTTTTTTTTTTTTTTTTTTTTTTTT